AGAGAGAGAGAGAGAGAGAGAGAGAGAGAGAGAGAGAGAAAGAGAGAGATCTTAAAAAATAAAATATATAAATTTTAATGCATAAATTTCTTTAAAATAGTAATAAATCTAGGGAATTTCCTAGTACTATGTCATCGTTCTGGAACACATGATCAAATTTTGCTTCTGCTACTCAATTCTGTGCGTTTGATAGCAGACGCAGCCTTTTCTAGGGTGGCCAAAGGTGCAATGAGGAGTTTATAAATTTCGTCATTATAAAATTGAAATTTGTATATTAGAATGACCATGATTTCGAAGGCTGCGGTGGGCATCGCCGTTGGCATAGCTGGAATATTCTTTGGATACTGCTTTTATTTCGACCGAAAGCGCCGCAGCGATCCAGATTTCAAAAAGAAATTGCGTGAACGTAAGTCAAGCAATCATCTTCTCAATCATTAGAAATACTTTTAAGCCATGTGCGTGTTTGTGAGTGCTAATTTTGTATAAAAGCGGTTACAGTTTTTTTATGGAAGTGATTGTCTCTGCGAGTTGATTAATTTTTCTCAGAATATTTCGTTTTTGTTTAATCGCATCTTGTTCAAATAGTCAATGCTACAAAATTCGAATAGCGTTATATTAATATATAACTTGTTAAATAAATTTACAGCATAGTATGTACAGAGTCGTTGACATTATTGTTTTATATTTAAAGGAAGAAAAATTAAGAAGAAGCAAGCTGAAAAAAATAATTTAAAACTTCCTGATATGAAAGATCACGAAGGTGTACAAAGATTTTTCTTACAAGAAGTTAGTATGAAATATTTTAATATTACTACTGTATATTGATGATTTGCTGTATTCATTTTGTATGATAATTTTGTAAATATTTCATAGGTTCAACTTGGAGAAGAGAAACTTACAAACGGTGATGTAGACGGTGGAATTGCACATTTAGCTAATGCAGTTGCAATCTGTGGACAACCTTCACAATTATTGCAAGTTCTACAAAAGACACTGCCACCACAAGTTTTTTACCTTTTATTGCAACGATTACCTGCTATTGGCCAGGTATAAATTTCAATTCAACGTTTGTGTTAGAAATGAAATGCAGGAAAATTGGGTTTTTCACTTATTGTTGCAGAAGATAGCATCTCAAACTGGAATGGCTGAGGAAGATGTTGAATAAAACAATATATAAATTGCGTTGAGTATTTCAAAATAAAATTTAACCATTAGTAGAAAGTGTATGCTTCTTTTGATAACGTAGATAATTGTGTGGCTTCGATTTGGTCAATCCTGTTAAATGTACGTCTTGTTCTCCTTGATTGAACTTCCATGCTCCTTGATGATTGTATATCAATTAAAAGTATGCCATATAATTACGCATATATACATTTTCAATGGGAAGAATTTTTGTGATACTTTGTTAAAATATAAAGTTTTCATTCAAAGATTACATATAATGTTAGCCATTCAAACATTTTGATTGTCACAATTATTATTCATAACATACTAATGAAATAAATGTTTCAGTTGATTTGGCAGGCAAATGTATGTATACATAATGCACATAGAACATAGAAAAATTTCTACTCACACAATAATTCCTTTATGGCTTTAGATTGAATGGTTACAATAAATTAATCATGTTAAGAATTCCACAAATTTACAAAATGCAGAGATAAAACAACTAATTAAGGAGAATAATGATTAATCTACTTTTAACTATGCATTTCAGTTTCTGGGAACATAAAAAATACTTAGAGATTGGTTTCGATGAGGAATTCATATAAAATGTGATCTTGAAGTTATATACTTTTTTTC